CTGCGAGATGGGGGCTGGGAAAAGCATATTCATGAGTTTATCAAAGACGCCTTCTGCTGGTGTTATACAACCGTACCATAAAATAGTGTTTCAAATTTCTTACAACTGGATACAAACTGTTCCCTCTGTCTCAGACTGGCTTTATCCACCTTAAACCCCTCATCCTGCTTCGCCCCATCCCTCATGCATTTTCATCAGGATGCAAATAAGAAAGGGATAAAAGAGGCCCAGAATCCCTGCGCTAGCTGGAGGAAGAGTTAGAAAATCTCTCTCTCTCTCTCCCTCTTTCTGGCTCCCTTTAACCTGTTCTGCTGTACAGGCAGCTCAGCCAAAATAGAGGTCCTTAAAAAGAAATGAAAAGAGATGACAGACAGACACAGTTCTGCTCAGGAGGAGAAAGAAGGACAGAGGCGCTGATGGATAATGGCAGAGTGTGTACTTTCAAATTCAAAGATCAGAGCAGATCCACGCTTTCTCTTCTGAGACACAACACTCAGTGGCCCTTCTCAGCCTAGACTAAAGTGGTATCAGTGTTTTGAGTTGATCGTGGATGTTTTACCATTCCGCATTTTCCCCTGTAGCTTGATTTAGTGAAATGAAACAAAACAAACTGAAAACCCTGGATACCATTTCCCGACTAGCTTGGTTACTCAGTACTTGCGCTGAGCTACTGTAGTGCCCTAAACCTGATGCTATAGCCGCAGCCTTTAAATATGACTGCAGGTTTTGTTGTTGTGCAGTGTATGTTTGTGTGGGTGTTCTCACTCTTCTTTTTTCCTCCTCTCCTCCTCCTCCCTCCTCCTCCAGCTTGGATCCGAGGCAGACGGAAGGAGCCCCCCTCCATCGAGGTACGCCCCCCCCAAAGCCTCCCCGCTGTGCTGATGGTTGGACTCTGGGGGACTGGTTACAAGGGAGGGAAAGAAGCAAAGACGGGGAGGAAAGGCTTTTATTTGTTTTATCTTACAGTTTCGAACTGAATGCTGGAACTTTGGGGGACAGGTGTTAAAATAAACAGCAGCTGAAGTGCATTGATGGCGAGACGGAGAGCAAAGACAGCCTATGAACAAGGGGCTCACTGACACCATGTCCTAGTTTACTTTCTTTTTTTTTCCCAGCAAAAGCCTGCATCTCGGCTTTTTGTGTTTTATTTCTGGCAGTCTCCAAGATGGGAATGGTGAAGGAGTGCAGTTTTTCCCCTCGTGTACCTCTCACTGGGTTTATTGCTCTTTAAATGTGAGAATGCTGGAAATTATTTGGCCGCTGAAATGTGGGTCTATAGGAAATCCCTTGGAAGGCCAGTACTCAGGCACTCTTTCTATCTCTCTGTCCTCTCTCCCTGCCAGTGGCCAGTGCCATCCCCTGCCTCTGTTGCCAGAACATTCTCTTCCAATTTTCTGCCTTGCGTCTGCCCAATAGCTGCCATCGACAGCTGGACAGTGTTGATGTGGCCAAGGCTTCACTCCCAGCACATTACCCTACCCCTTGTCACGCTCCCTCTCTTCCCGGTCCAAGCCGACATAAATTGATTGGATTAAATCCTGTCATTAACAGGCTGGAAAAGCAGCTCAGTATGTTTGTCTCCCTCCCCAAAGCGGGGCTTTTTGGCCAGGGCTCTCCTCTCTCTTTTCCAGTCCTTCAGTTCTGCCAACACACAACAGCACTATGCCCGGTCCTCCCTTCCTTTCTGGTTTCCCATGCTAGGAGAGGCTAACATTACTGGACACACTAGCTGTGGCTCAAGTGGTTAAGTATTCCACCGGTGGATTGTATTCAGGTTATAATAGTGTCCATGAGCTGGAATGGGTGTTTATATTGCAAATGCCTCCTGTCATGTTAGTTTACCAATCCGTTCCAAGCACTACATTTTTAACCAGGGTTTATTGGACCAGTATAGGTTAACTGAACCTGCTTGTTCTTTTTCTATTAAATGCCCTACTTCATGCTCGATAGATCCACACATTTGTTCCGGGAAGGTGCCCACTGCAACTTCATGTCTCTCCTACTTTTGAGTAGTGAGCAGTTGCCTTTCTGCGCCTTGCTCTAAGACAAAACAGAGGCAGTTGATTAAGGAAGGGTTTTGCAGGACAGTTTGAAGGTTCCCGATAAATTTGTCAAGCATCAGAGATTTTGCCATACTCTTTGTCCAGTCTGTCCCGCTATCCCTTTTAATATATCTGGGTAGCCATAGTGGGCAATGTTGTAAATTAATGAGCCGGGTTGGCTCAGTATTATGGGGGTGGTGATGGAACAGTGGATAAGACGCATGCCTTTGGTGTGAGAGACACAGGTTCAGCTCCCCACTATGACATGTCCACCAACGTGTCCCAGAGCAACATACTTAACCCTTAGTTGCTCCAGAGGTGTGCAACCTCTGACATAAATAGCAATTGTAAGTCGCTTTTGGATAAAAGTGTCAGCAAAATGAATAAATGTAATGATAAAGAATTTGATTGATTTACTGTACTTTAACCAAAAATAGACCCGGCCCCCTCCAAGGCTCATTATTTATATACAGTCTACATGTAATATTAGGATATCTGCTGGAATTCGGTTCCCTCAACAACAAAAAAGGCCTCAGAAGGTATTAAAAAGTCTTGAATTTCATTCACAAAAGTATTTTTTCATGCCTGCCACTGACAGTCACATTAGTTATAACTTTTCCGTGTGTTGTTGCAGGCTGTCAGGACACCTTGTACATCTATAAACTATAAGTAGGATTGTTTTGACGGAGGATTGCATGCGCAGGTGGCCGTTTGTGGAGTGTCAGTCAGTGCCATCAAACTTGTAGCAAAAACATAAATGTTTTTATTTTTAGTGGGTTAATTCATCCAATCTTCTGCCTTTATCTGGGTCCAGGTCATGTTAACCTATTAATGATATGAATAGGAAATATTGATTAAATAGCATTCTATGTGGTATCAAAAAGGTCTTAAAAACTCTTAATTTGGTAAATACTGCAGTAACCTTGAATATACATGTATGTCCACCTGTGTATTTTATAGGAGCTGCTGAAGAATGAGTCTTACAGGGAGCAGATCAAATTGAAGGCCAAGGACGTGGAGGAGAAAGATCTGGCTCTACAGGCCAAGGAGTATGAGGAAGGTCTGGTGGCGACACCTGCAAAGACTTTGGCCAAGGGCCATGCAGCCACCACCAGCTTTGGCAAGCAGGAGATCAGCGAAGACCCCACCAGCACTGCAAACACATTCCAGCCTGGCTCCTGGATGCCCAAGAAATAGACAGACATCCACATACAGACTGAGACTGCAGTACAGTATAGTACAATCCAATAGAAAAGCACCTGCAATAAATACTACTTATGTGAAACTTTTTCACTTTAAGTTGAGAATTTAATGTTAGAAGCACCTTTCAGTTTAAGGCAATCCAAGTCAACATCACAAGCTATGATCTCAGAAATTAACTGAGTTTAGTCATCTCATCTCTGACTCAGTCTCAAATAATTCAGCATTATACGTTTCAGAGGAAGTATTTATTTCAAGGCTGTTTTATTGGACTTTATTTATTGGGTTTCTATTTTTCCAGTCCCTCAGTGTATATTGAATATACACAGGACAAATAACCTTCCCTCATCTCGAAGCTGAACTAAAAGTGACCGCAATGATTTGATGTAGCTGGAAGGTCTATTAATAAAGCAAAGAAAAACTGAAATGGTTGTAGTGCAGCAACTATAAATACACTGTATCATGTATAAGGTATATTGTAAGAAATAAGTTGCAATAAATTGTGACTGCTTTAATTACATCGATGTTGACTCTATCAGTAAAAAGATAAATAGTATGGTTTTAGTTCATGCTAATCAGAAGAACAGATCTCAAGTATTTAGCTATGGGCCAAAGAAGGTGTGCAGTACTTTTCAATATCCCTCAGAGAAAATGTTTTGACATTGTAGAGATGAAAAGTATTGTTTGTTGAGGGGGAACATAGAAAACCATGTTTAATCCTGTGGTAATATGTAGATAAGATCATTGTTAAATCAAGACTGTTCCTCTTTATTATGGAGGCGGTCCTGTGACAGTCAAAAGAATGAATAATGTTGCATTATATTGATCCGCAGCAAGTAGTCCTTCAGGTCAGAGTGCATGTTGGCCACAGAGTTCAGCAGGGTTACAGATTCTTGGTAAAAGAGCAGCATGAACTAAGATCCTGCAGTTGAAAACATGGTCTTCCTACTTAGTCAAATTTTTTTTAAATGCTCGCAAGAGATGACAGTACACTGATCCCAAGGATGAATACAATTTCAAGAGAAAGAAAATGGAAAAGGATTATGCAGAAATGTGCATCATTTCAATCTGTCTGTTAGAATCAACTACTTTTAACTGCTTATATAAATTTCAGGTACTTAGAATCACTGTTACCTATAAAAATATCTGCCCAACTGGACTTTGAATGTTTCATTTCACACAAATCACAGTGAATGTAATTAGTTTTTAATACTAATTTAAAAAATGGAATTAAATCTTCAAATATATCTCAATTAAGAACATGCAGTATATAAAACTCAAAAATTTTCTGCAGAACATAAAACCTGCCAATTTCCAGTTCGCTCCCTTCAAGCCAGTGTTTAATAAAAGGCACTACTGGCAGCAAGCTGGTCTTTTACAGCAATTATATATTTTTTCTTTTTATGTTTGATCTACCTGTACTGCGAGGAATTTTCAGTGCCTTGGAAATGTTATTCTTCTAACTTGTTTGGATGTTCCTTTGTCTTCTGTTTTTTTACAAACTGGCACCCTTATTGTACATAGGTATGTTCATGCATCTTCTAAAGACAGCTGCCTACTCTAGTTTTGTGCTTAGTTTTGTTGATTTTGACAACGGCTTTTCTGTCATTCAGTTCATAAAAGCCTTATTACATGCACTCTGGTTCAGTGTTTTAATACAATTAAACATAAAGGGATGAATACTTTTTATGTGCCCTGAATTAAAAACACTGGTGATACTTTTTCCAGTCCAATATCAGATCCACAAAGAGGAAATACGATTTTCTTATCAACCATGAAAACTTTATTGATTAGAAAGTAGTATTTTGGATATTTTGCAAGTGACTTGGAAAAAGTTCCAGATTGCTCGTTACATCGTCAATTCAGCAGAACATGGACGCTAACAATGGAATGCAAGGTGTTGCAACAGCTGCACAATATTATCAGCGGACCTCTCTTAAAAAAAAAAAAAAAAAAAAAAAAAAACTAAAGAAAAAAATCATACAGATGACCACTGTGCTCTTGCTGACCGAAGTCCCACTGGGACGAGCCTTCTCCGGGCAGTACTGTCCATCTCAGCACTGTGGAGCCAGTGTCCCTCCTCCTACCCCGGACATGAGGCGTAGTGGCCCTGTGCTGACAGTAGGGCTGGGACAAGGAAGGGCACTGTGTCATTATTTGGAGTAAGGAGGGCTGTGAGCATGGTGGTTGCTCCTCCTTTCTTATGCCCTCATTGTACCCTCACAGGCTCAGTCTTTCTTGGTCCTCTTGGCCTTGGCTATGTTTTCCTGACGCTTCTGCTTTTTCTTCTGTTCCCGGTCACGTGCCTCGATCATCTTGGCCAGTTTCCAGGACAGCAGTGCGCTGGCAATGAAGAGAGGTGTGAGAGCCAGTATGACAGTGGTGAGGAAACCATAGGGGTCTTTGGCAGCCCACTCCACCACATACTCTGCCCATTCCCGAACGTCAATCATTCTGGTCAGCAACGATGAGGCTTAATCAAACCTGAGAGTGAAGGGAGGGAAAGCAGTGAATAGCCAGAGCAAAGTCCTTCTGTTTATGTACAAGTGTTTTTCACAGTTGCTTTGGGAATGTCAACTAGTGTATGTATATATATATATATATATATATATCTCAATGGATTAGGCTATAGATTTCCAAATGTGACTTGTGTTTAAGGGAGAGTAGGGTACAGTTTGTCAGAAGTGACATAATTCAACTGCATTATTCTCTACAGTACAAAAATATATCGGCCTCATGAGTGCAGGTATCGGCAGATGCTGATTATCTCAAAATGTCGGATATCAATACCAGTTTGCAATGCCAATAAAAAAATTGAATATTATTATATATTTTTTATCTAGATATCACAAAGGACCTTCTACCAATGATTATAAGTAGGCAAGTTGGTGTTATGGATACAATATACTTTCACAGTGTATGCAAATTCATAACCATACATTAGGTAATAGAGCGTTTTCTGGAAAACCAATTAATCAACAGAAAATGTACTGTCACCAGCACACCAGGAAAAATACCAAATATTTGCTGGCTCATGCTTCTCAAATGTGAGGCATGACTGCTATTCTCTCTTTCATATAATTATACATTAAATAAATGTGTGTTTTGGACAATTGGTGGCACACAAAAAAAGCAAGGTGACAAAGGCTCTCCAAAACTGTCTTTAAAAACCAGATACATACACAAGATTTCTTGTTAATCGGCTTATTAAAGACCTGACAAGTCTATGAACTATCTGTTGTTAAGAAAAAAACAACATAAAAATGCAGTATTGCGTAACTTCCTGGTGGTCGTGGTTGTGCTGCCTTTCATACCCCTCTCTCACTTCCCTTGTTTCCCGTCTATCTCTTTTCTGCCCTTCCTGTGTTGCCATAAATGCTGCTGCGAATCAGTGAGATCCTGCTCACTGATTCGCAGCAGTACCACAATAACTTAATACACACAGAGATACTTCTGGAATATTAGGAATAACATTACTGTATTAACAGTGAGCCAAAATCTCTGAGGGTTAACCATTTGATCCCAGTGCATTTCGTCATATCCAATCCAAACTGATATTCATCACATTCACTTCCTGTTCTCAGCAAAACTAAAGAAAAGTGTCTCAGCTGATGCTTATCACATTGGGCTGCACGGCTGCAAGTGGTGAAATAGCAGTCTTAGTACATGGTAGTAACGTTAGTAATACATCCATAGCTCCGACTCATAACATAGCTAATGACCACCCGACTACTAACATCAACCAGAGTCGCAGTTAGCATACTTAGCTTAACAGTCAGAGACAAAACCGTTACAAACTATTTATGTTTTACAATCTCACACAAACAAGTTCACAAAACAAATTCACCGTATCTGCGGCTACGCTTAAGCTAACGTTAGATACGAATCTCTGAGATGTAGATGACGAAATTTTCATCTCTACTAGCCTTAGCAACACTAACGTTAGCTAACCCGCCCATCTATAACGGCCTAACGTTAACTTTTAAGGAGCAAGAGCAGTGACTCTCGGCTAAGCAGCGCAACAACGAATATATTAACAAATTAATTAAGTGGCGTTAAAAACTAACACAAAATAAACTCACCAAAATGCAGAGATTGTGTTTATACCCACGGCAATACGTACCAGCCCCTCCCTGTTCCGGGAAGTGTAACTGGTGAGGTTCTGCTCGCTCGTGATTGGATATGACGTTTACCTTTAAACATGGGAAATGTAGTCCTGCAGCCTTTGAATCTAGATTTCTAAACCATCAAAATACATGAAGTGCTGCTGCTGCACTGAAACGCATATAAACCTCTCTTCTTTAGTGACTCTGGAATGACTATAGCCTTTGTATTAATCACAGCTGCATCATGCATTACTTTGTGTTAAAGTCACCATAGACAATGTGCTTTAGTTGTGATGCTCACACAATCTTTGGAACTTTTGCAGTTTGCCATGTGTCCTGTAAATAGGGAAATAGTTGGCATATTTATTGCAGTGCTGTGGCTGTAATATTGTAGTGTACAATTTGTATCTATACAGTGGTAGGCTAATACAAATATTTACTAAGACAGGCTAACCATTACGTGCATTGCTGCATTGATTAACTGCTTGACAAAAACAGCAGAGGTTTTTAAGATCACCCATAGTAAACCATACAAGCAGAAGAGGGAATAGCAGTAATAACTACTATATACGTAATTTTTAGAAAGACAATAACACCTGTCTCATGTCTATTGTTGTTCTTCTTTTATCCGTAAAAGTACTAATTTAGGAATATGAACATGTGGCATAAAGTGATTTGAAAGAACTTTGGAAGGGTTAGTCATACTCTGAATTACTCTGAAATTAAAGTATTTGAGATTGGATTTTTTTAATTTGGGGTGCAGAATAAATAAAAAATATTTCAGCTAAATGAATTCAAATATTGTGTCTTTGTGAATGACAGGTCAGTTTTAATAATAATAGGAGAGCAGACCTGTAACCAGACAGTTTCTGCGTATATGAAACCCTCACTCTCTTGTCTGTTGATCTACTGTCAGGGTTCCAGAAAGAATTAAAATATGTGTGTCATCAATATGCTGTAAAACAATATCTGCAAGATAATGATTAAATTCAAACATTGGTAGAGGTTGGCACAGATAAACAGATAAACAATATCTTGAAAAAAAAAAACACAATGTAGTCTTTGTTACTGGCTACAGAATCAGATGACATGTAGCTGTTGCTGAAACCTCTGATCATGTGTGGAACTGCTCTGTCTGGAGAGTAAAGCCAACGATAAGGCAATAACTGTGTAAAAAAAGAAAGAAAGAAAAAGCAAAAAGCTCCACTGGCCCTCTGAGAAAGATGACTAACATAACAAAGGAGGACCTGCTGGCTTTGCGAACTTCCTGTGGGGAAGTATTGAAACCAAATCAGGTTAGGCCACATCTGCTCTGTCCATACGGCATGGATCACTTTCAGAGCAGTTCAAAGGCCAGCCTTTTAAACCTACTCACAGAGAAGAAGAAGGGCAGCTGGGAACACATGCAGACACATTGTAAACATATATTCTGGATTACCACCATAGGTTCAGCCAAGTTTTACAGAAAATTTAGACAAATATCCCCAACCTGGTGCTTATAATTATTAGTTTCTGCTACATGTGTCATCAGGCGAGGAGAACCCAGGGGGTGGAAAATGCAGCCGCGCCCTAAACCCCTGATGACTATTTTACTCCTACAGAAGTAGGCCCCCTTTTCATGACACAGCTATGGAACTAACATTATCAGCAGGCATAGAGGAGGACCATAAAATGACTGCACCACAATTTATAGTTAACCAGCTCCACTAGTAGTGTGTGTCATAGTGGTTACAAGAAAAACCACTAGCCGACCAGACCTTGAGGAATTTCCAACATCCTTTGATTCTGCTTTTTCTGTTGCAAGTTGATAGACTTAACCGCTGGAGTTAGAGTAGAGAATGTGACTAGACCCAGAGCTCTTATAGAAGGTAGGCTACTCCAGTAGGCCTAATTTAGTGTGCCTTTTCATAAAGTTGGGAGACTTGCGAGACAATAAAAAACAATGGTCAAAATCGATATATAATCGAAAATATCTGGATCTGAAGTCACCAATGTGAGTGAGGCTCTAAAATGCTAAATGAAAGCATTGTAGTGCCTTTCAAGTGCCTTCCCCAGTTTCTAACAGAGTTTCTGTTTCAAATTTGACTGTCCTAATCCAACAGAATCCAAATCCCTGTTTTCTCAGATTTAACCTGTAGCCTATACATAGGCTAGGCTACTTATAGGGAGCTCCTCCCAAGCCACAGAAGATGCCTACTAGTGTTTTCACAGACTAAATACTCCCCCTCGGCAGAGGCCTATATACAATTATACTGAGCTGTGCAAAATCCATGGAGCGACCCTTTAAAATTAAGATGAATATATGCCTGTGTGTGTGAGAGAGATCTTGTCTTTCAGACTGTGTTTGTGGTTAATTGTCTAACGGCTGCAGGCTGCAGCACAGTAAACCAAACAGCTGACCAAAATGACTGATTAGTGACTACAGAGGACAAGCATGTCCAGCTCCATATCTTTATGTTCCTCCTCCCACGCCCTTTAAGTCTTTGACAGCTGAAAGTCCTTTGGACTAAAGCTTCGAAAACAACCATCATGTTGAAGCTAGAGCCCGGGGTGGTAGCACACAGGCTCCAATGGAAAAAAGTCAGTTTTCTTGCCCCCTTTTACCCCTGTGGGAAACTGCGAGACCGCCCCTGGATTAAGTCCCCGCCTTTAAACTCAAATAAGAAGGAAACTTCAAAGGACGTCGGCCGCCGGGGCTCCGCCCTCGCGCTCCCGAACAGCTTCACAAAGGATTTGCCGACGTTCGGGAATTCCGCCTCCAGTTCCTTTTATAGCGCCACTCGTGCGCTGGCAGCGCTCCAGGATCCCGCCCATCCCGGTTACTTTGACAACACAAAGGACTTCACGGAACTCGCAGGCGCCGCCTACCTTTCCAAATAAGGGCAGTCTCTCCATGTACGGCAAACAATCGGTGCGAGATTGCCCTTTTCTCTTCCTTATCCCGTTTATATGATCGGAGAGGAACTGCGCTTCAGGTTGGAAGCGGTGCGATCATGGCCGAGCGAGTCCAGCAGCCCCCAGCCAAGCGGCTCTGCTGCAGGCCCGGCTACAACCCGGCATGCAGGCAGGGGCAGCGGGCTGGAGGAGTCCTGTGTGGCGGCGCAGGGTCCGCTCCTGGAGGGTCGGGGAATGGAAAAACGCACAACCCCGAGTCGTTGCTCGACATCGCGGCGCGCAGAGTCGCGGAGAAGTGGCCGTTCCAGAGGGTGGAGGAGCGGTTCGAGAGGATCCCGGAGCCCGTCCAGCGGAGGATCGTATACTGGTCATTCCCGAGAAGCGAGAAGGAGATCTGTATGTATTCCTCCTTCAACGCCGGAGGAGAGGAAAGTGGAACTAGCGGGGACAATAATGACGAGACCCAGCTGCCTTTCCTACGGGGTGTCACTCTGCTAGAGGGTGGCTGGGTGGACAACGTATTGCAAGTCGGTGAGTGGACTATAACGTTACAAAAATGCAGGGAAACAGCCCATGATAAACAAAACATCGAACTTGCACTGTTTGCCTTTTTCTATGGAGCCACGCCAGACTTTTTTTTAAAGGGCTTGTGTTTGCCTTCCATAGACGTGTGTATTATAAACAATGCAGGGTATTTCCACACCAGTCTACCCTATAGCTGTGTGAGAATAGCCTATTTTCAGATAAGCCCGTAATAGTAGGCTACCTCACTTCTCCTTGTTTTTGCCCACTGAGCGGCGCGCATTGAATTGCCCAGAGCCATCCCAATTGGAAGCTTAGCACTTTGTTCCTATTTTTATGTCTTTCCAGCTCTCCATGCCCCCACCAATGGGTACGCAGACAAAAGCCCCCTATATCTTTTCACCGCTGGCTAAATAGACGATATTTAGAAAGGGTGGGAGGGACGGTGATTTAAAGCCACAGTGCTTCTATTTTGTTTGCCAAACACCTTTGTGAGACAGACTGAAGCTTTTTTGCTGCCTTCCCAATGTTCAGTTAAAGCCCAGGTTATAAGGCAAAGATGCATTTATTTTCTCTCTCTCCCTCTCTCTCTGCTGCATTATTTGTGGTAAAGCTCGAAGTAAACAGAGGTGCTGTAGGCTCAGCAACCCCCTGCCTGCCTGCCTGCCTGCCTGGCTGGCTGCCTTTGCCAGAGCCACAATATTTCACTGCAATCGTCAGTGCAATAGACTCAGCTGTCAATCCAACTCCCCACCCTTGGAAACGGTTCAGGATTCTAATCCCATTAACCTCCCCAGTTCATCTGAATCTTAATGCATTCTGCAAACAAGATTTTATGCATGATCTTCTTCCTCCTCCCTCCCTCACCCTCTCTGTTCCTCTCCCCCCTGCTCCACACTCTCTCACTTCTTGGCTTACTATCGCCTCCAAAGAATCTGTGTGGAGATGGCTTCAGCCTCTTGTGGGCTCGGAGAATGTGCAGTGCACAATAGTAGCCATGGAGCAGGCAGACAGACAGGCAGCTTTCCCTCCCTCTCTGGCCTGTTTACCAGATTCCCCAGCATTAGACTCATTTATGTGCTCACTCTTTTGGGGCTTTATAAGCAAATCACTCAGCACAGTGTAAAACAGGGTACGGCGTCAGTGAGGAGATATGTATGTGTCTGCTTTGGAAAACAGTGACAAAGAGGGTAACTGGGTCATTTTCTTTGGCCACGCATGTGTTTTTGTGTGTGAAAGAGAAAATAGTATGTGTGTCTGTGTGGTGGGGTTGATAAACACAGAGGGGGATTGTGCATGTGTGTGTGTGTGTGTGTCTTCCTCTGCACGGGCTGTCAGTCTCATCCTGCATGCTCATAGAGAGTGGAGGATGACAGGCGAGTACACAGCAGGAGGAGGGCATGTTATGCTGATTGCAATTTTCGCCCCAGAATTTTTTTAAGCTGGGGAAAATAAAGCCAAGGAAGAGAAAACGATAAATAAAAGATGCAATCTACTCCAGGGGACAGGCAGCCACTGGAGGATGAGGGCTTAAAAGCAGGGCAGCATGGGAGGGGGCTGTCAGCCACATCACACACCACATGTATTGGCCCATCAAACACATACAGTGGGTCTGGCCTGGAAGAAAAGTGCAGGGTGGCTGTCAGGGTGTGTATGTGTGTGCAC